GGTGTGGCTTACTATATGAAATTTTACCTAAAATACGCAATAAAAATGAGTTTTTTAAGCTGCAGATACTTAATTGTTTTTATATTAAAAAAGTATATTTTATTTTAAAATCTGCATTGCGTCCCTTTAGAAAAAAAGGATACAAAGCTTATCATATGAAAAGAAGTAAACATAATGATGAAATAAAACACATTTTTATAAGTATTTTTATTGTACTAATAAATCAAACAATATAAAATAGGTAATGAAATATAATTAATATAAAATTTATATAAATTTATAATTAATATGAAATTATTAATATAAAATAGGTAATAAAATCTATTTTATAGCTAATTCATGAATAAACTAAAATAAGAATAATTAATTATTTTGTATGAAAGTCAAAACGAAGTTTTTATTATAATTTCCAAAATATTTAAAATCAGAGGTAACAAATGAACTTACTCCATTAAGTCTCCCATTAATGTAGGATAATCACAAATGCGGAAAAATGGCAACATTGAACCTAAATGGATATATTCGTTAATTTTATTTAATTATTTGAGGTTTTTTACGTTTATATGAAAACAAGAACTAAAAATTATGTGTTGAAAGTGATTCAGCTTGATTTATTACGTTTTTGTGACCTTGAATAGAATTCTTTCACTACGCATTTACCCATTTTTTGTCGCGGCTCAACTCTGTCGGCGTCACATTGAATACTGAACTGACGTCAGCTGGGCATATGGCTGTGAGCCATATGTGCAGTGGCAACGCTTTGGCGCGGTTATTACTGATCTAGTGTAATATATAAATCAATGGAGGTAACATACAAAAACAACATACGGAATAATGTTCAAACTGCACAAAACTTGGAATTATTGTAATGTCTCACCGATTATATAAACATTAAAAACAATTTTCGTAATTGTGAACGTGACCATTGGCAGAATTTTAAACGGTGGCGGTCGTTATCATTGTGCCTATAAAAACGAGGAATAACTTCTGCGATACTATGCATCACGTTTACGAGCAGTTAAACAGTGGTACAATTTTTTGCGCATAATTTTTTTGCGTTTATATACATATTTATTTAATGGCGGCAATATCATGCCGCCAAGAAGATTAGTAATGATTATAATATACTTATACTTGAGATTTAAGTTTAACATATCTTTGTTGCAATGTAACTCTTTGTAAAATTAGTGGAGTGAATAAACAAATATTTACTTATTATTATTATTATTATTATTTCACATAATGCTGCTAGTTCTTACCATTACTTCAATGCTCAATACCCTTACTTCATCTTTTAACAACGTTATTACAGAAAATAAGGCAATACATATGTAAAATATTCAGTTTTTGATATTAAGACTAAGTATATATAATAACCTAGCACCGGATTGACCGAGCTTTGCTCGGTATTTTTCGCTCGTTTTTTTTTTAATTCGTGTGTTTTGGAAATTATATTTAGATACAAATTACATACTGATGAAATACGAATAATATTTTTTGATCTTAGCGACATAATAGAAAAAACTGAACTGGTTATTTGAATAAAAAATCATGAGTGCAATTACATAGCTTAATTTAAATTTTCGTGTTTTTAAAAAATACTAAAAAAAAGGGCTCGAAAAAAATAGATTTTTTAAAAAAAGAAAGGAACTTGAAAAAAAATTTAAAAAAAGTCGGTCCGCTCTTGGCTCGAACCATGGTATTACGATTTTGTGACCGCCCAATATACCAATTAAGCTATTTGTAATCAATAATAAACTGTCAAAATTTACCTTCTTATTCTAACGATATTGTAGCAGTTTTTCATTGCCTAAAACACGGACAAAAAGACATTCTCTAAAAATACAAAATACAAATTTTATGAAAATCGTTGGAGCCGTTTTTTTTTTTTTTTTTTTTTAAAAAAAAAAAAAAAATTTTTTTTTTTTCCGAGATTCCGATTATATATATATATAATAAAGAATTGCTCGTTTAAATGTATGGATTAAGCTGTTAGCATAAAAATGTTTACTTGATTTTACTTATTTTTTCCTATTATTCCAAATATAAATCAATAATGTCGACAGACAAACTGTAAGGTGTAGTAATCTAGTAATAACAATAATATTGACCTCCAATTCCAATTTAGGCCATACCGACCAACGACGAGTCTCGGAGACGAAGACACCGTTGCACCGACAAGCACAGGTGCTCTCGCTATTCCCTCACTCTCCTATTTCAATGAGACGGTAATTCGACAAGAACAGGGAGAGATCAGGCCGTGGACTTAGGTCCTGCGCCTGATTGCCTCTTAGCTTTACGTGCTTTCCACAGCCCGAGTTTGAATCAACGTCAATTTCCTGACTCTGCTGCTGCAGAGTTTCTTGTCAGAATTTTGACCCAATCCGGAATACCATATGATCAGTAGGCGCGCTAATGACCACTAGATCATCGATGCAGTCAAAAAATGTAGTAAACAAATAACAAAACACCAATACGAAAAAAATCGAGTAGTCATGTCTCATAAAACTTAATTAAGTAGTTATATATACATATTATGAGATGAAGTCGATAGTGTTATAATCCATCGTCATATCATAATAATCATAGTAATCATCACAATATCATCTGCTCTGGAAATTAGAATAATATAAGCATCTGCGCAGGACAGAATTATACTGCACGATATAGTGTACGCAAGCATTTTGTATGTCACAATTTACAAAAAATCTAACGAATATGACAATTGAAGACAATAAAGTAACCTTAATAATCGATGAATTTAAATTTGTAACGTTTACTGCAGAGAATCAAATGATGCATGGACAATATGTATCAATCAATCATCAATCTGTATCAATAACAGCCTGGCCAAGGGACATTCGCCGTAGCGAAAATTCGCGCGGCGGACGGCGAGGCGTCTAGCGACTAAAACAAATGTATGGAGCAAGCCACGCGTAGCGGCGAGTGGCGACGCGACCGGCGAAATTTACGGGGCGAATCGCGTGGGCGACTGGCGGTGCGGCGGGCGACTGAAACATATGTATGAATCAGTACGGTGCAAGCCCCGGAGTCGGGCGGCAGACGCGGCGAATTGTATAGGAACAAAATATTTTAGTTGTTTTCGCCGCGAAAAATGCCGGGCCGACAAAATCAACGTAAAATCTTTATCTATTCATTACAAGAATATAATCGCAGGTTTCGACACTTTTTCTGGTATTTACTCGAAATTTTCTTCTAGATGTATTCTATTTGTTGTGGAATTCTCCATTTATAACCCGATTCCTATTCAAATCATGTACTCCGCAATCTTTTCCAAATATTATGTCTTGAATCAAAAAACAATTAGTCTTTCTAAGCATTATCGAGATAACTTTGATAAAGACATTTCACTCTCGGCCTATCTGGTCGCGGCGGCTAACGTGACTTCCCGTGGCCCTCAAATCGCGCCGCGCGAATTTTCGCCCGACCTGTCGCTTCGCCGTTCGCGCCGCCGTTCCCCGTGGCCAGGCCGTAACGCATCAAGAGCAAGATGGCGTCTTAATTTCATCGGCTGATTGCCTATTAATTCTGTAATGTGCGATGCGATTATGAGTAAAAAATACTGGCAAGTGAGAGCGATGTAAGTACCCAATGAATTTTGAAAGCCCACAACCTCAAAATAATAACTAAGGCACCACACCGTCAACCAAATATATGCCACTCAAAACAATTTTTTTATATATTTAAAACTTAGAATAATTACTACTATGTATTTGACGCTGGTATTCTGTGAGAGCGTGGTCCTTCCCCGGTTGAGCCGACCCATTCGTGCTACAACTATGTATATTACTAATATAACTGCAGCATGGCTCTTATTATATCTTATATACAACACTCGGAAAAACAAACAAAATCAAAAATTATTACCGAGCTATTGAGATCCGTTGAGTGTAAAAGCGGTAAAAGAAAATTAAATTACTCTACACAGTGGTGTGACGGGTTATCATCATAAAGATTTCTATAGAGATGATCAACAATTAACAGGTCATTTTGTTATTATTTAAATTTAAATTTAATGGTTTCGGAATATAAAAAAAGAATAATACGCTTAGAGAAGCGGCCGAATTTTTCGAATCGAATAAATAAAGCCGAATCCGAAAAAATTATTATCATCATTCATCATTACAGCCTTACTTTACTGAACATAGGCATTCCCCAAGGAATGCCACAAAGTACGGTCTCGAGCCACCTGCATCCAACGACTTCCTGCGTTTCTTACTAGATCGTCACTCCATCTAAATCCTAATATAGCGAAATGTATATTGTCTGTTGAGTCTCTTACGACAGCGTAATAATATAAAATCTTAGGGACGTGGTAGACGAGATGCTAAGTTACTAAGCGTTTACCGTAAATTTCATAGTAGGTACACGAGTAGCGTGGATTCGATTATCGCCGTTACCAATGAAATTGTTCATTGCAATTTTAAGTATTTACCACGTGATATGCAAGGTGGTGAAGGATCTAATGAATTAAATATTTTAAATACATGTGTAGTCCACCACCACCGGTCACTGGAGCCGCACGGCGGATTAAAAACTGTAGCTAAACTTTTATATTTAGGTTGTAACTTTATTTTTTACTTTCGTCTTTACTCTTTAGAGCCTTACATTTAGTTATTATCTAATAACAAGGTCACCGACGTCACAGTTTTAGTCTCATACACGATAACGAACTTCATCAAACAATAATTATCAACTCTTTTGCCTTTACTTACGCATTATAATACATACCATAGAAACATAATTGTTGTTATCGCAATCAGATAATGTGAACACATCAATGAAAATGCAATCACTGCCCATAAGAATTTGTTATAAAAACAAAATTGAAACAAACATACATAATAAAACCAATAAAATAATCACACTTTATGAATGAACTCAAGAGATATATTAATGAATCGATTTAAAATCCGATTGTGATTACAATGTTTACGAATAAACGGTTAAGATTTTATGTATTCAAAGAGCGGACTAACCAATTTCAACATTAGTGATCCCGATTCCTTCCAATCACTTAGATGGATGGTTAATTAAATAAAAAGCTCTAGTCTTAATTGAAGCATAAAACGTCTACACACGCACTCACTTTTACTAAACTAATTGCTGGATAACATTCGTATTTCGGAACACAGTCTGTTTTTATGGCCTTTCGACCAGGCAAAACTAAGTTTTACAAAGATCTCACTGCTTCACAACACTATTTAATTCGTTTATCGATATTAAATCACGTAAATTCGTTTTCTTTTTCATTCACTCGTACTTCGAGAAGTTTGTAATTTGTAAAGTAATAATGCTACAATACGACATGCGACACCGTCAGCAGTTAGCGCGACACTGGCGAGGTGGCGAGATATCGAATCGAAATTGAATTGTGAATCGAGTAGACATGAGTAGGTTGACCATATTACAAGCCTAACGTGGCCAGTCGACGCACAGGTATGAATAATGACATAATAGATAAAAGTCTTGAAATACCTTTGATTGTATTATACAATGTAATTTTTATTATGATAATAAATATTGTGTATTTAAACTTTATGTAAATAAATGGTTAATTGCACTTGATTATCAAATTGTAAGTAAATTACTTAAACTCTAGGAAGATAAATTCGAATGTAAATACGTAATTTCTAATTATCTTAACTAAATGCAACTATAGTTTGCTACATGCTTTAATTCTGATATAATTTCTTTATCTTTTTCTTTCCATTATTAGTCTATAAAAGTCCTCTGTTGTACATGGGCCTCTGTTTTTGTGGATAACTTTATGAGTGACGCTTGGCAAGCGATGTGATGATCCTAGTACCAACTGTCGCACCTTGGATGTTGTTAATATTCTATCGGAAGCCATAATTAAAAATAATCGAATTAACAATGTTAAACAATTTATTAACTGAGATCTGCGCAATAAAATGAAATAAGTACTTAGTTTGAAGAGCACCTCCAGTTCTCCCACCACTACTCCCAACAACACTACACTAGGAAAAACACCACCGTCTCGATAGTACGACTCGTGTTTCACCTCTACGCGTAGCATTCTCGGGTGAAGTAGACTCTGCAGTGGCTGCCCGCTAAGATCTTAGGTAATATTTTTTTTTGTTCATTCATATAATGGAGTTCCGTAAAGTAACATCGGATGGTATAAATTATAATATTATAATTTTTCTGGGGTTTTCTAAAGTCGCCTCGTACGACACTCCTGAGATGAAATGGGGTTAGAGATTCTCTTATCCCACCATCATACGGCAAAGTTAAATATTATAACTATATTATGGAAAGTCAAAAAATTAAGCATGTCATTGATAAAATGTCTTGTATTTTTCTATTAAAATATGGTGACCGTGTTCCGGAGTGGTTGTGCCTCTCACTCGACTACGCAGAGCGCAGACGCAGCAGGCTCTTGTGCTCTGTCCGCCTCACACTTGCTACATATCTATTTATCTATGGCCTCACAGTAGGCAGGTCTTCCTTGCGACCTCACGCAGTGAACCTTCTATTTCTTTTGCCACTCCAGATGAATTTCGAATGCCACGTTTTAAAGATACAAACATGCCCAATGGATTGATGCCTTTTTCTTTTTTTTGTACTTATTTAAAAAGAAGCACTGTGGCGCAGTGGCTTGGCAACGAGTGGCTGCGCTGGGGGTCGCGGGTTCGAATCCCCGAACAAGTATTTGTATGGCCTACAAATAATTGTTCCGAGTCTGGATGTTTGTCCTTGTGCAATTTATGTTTGTAAACTGTCCCCACCTCACGATACAGGAGAAAATCCTAGAGTAGGGGTAACGTTTTAAAAAAAAATTAAACAAAATTAAACAGAAAAATGACAGTAAAATAAAAATAAAATACCTTACAACAGTTAAAAATATTTTCATTGAATGTGTTGTAGTGAAATTACATTAATTCTTACAAAATTACCTGTCAGAAATTAAGTATCTACTAATTTAAATTAACGTTAAGTAATTAAAATACTCAAGCACGTAATATTAAAAAACATGCAATTTTATTAGTGATGCAACTAACAAAGATTGGATATGTTTTAACACATAGAATATAGTTAACGAGGTAACTTTTTAATCTATTTTGAAATGAGAACGCGTATCGTTGTGAAACAGAAAGATAGCATAGTTGTTAAACAATTGAATAAATAATGACTCAAGCGCATTGTGTTTTTTAATTATCATAAAATCATTTTCTTGTTACTTTAATACAAAGATATCATTATATTAAGTTCATCCACTGGGCTAGATTAAGAGTATCCTTAACCGACGAGCATGTATGCGTAGGTTTATGAATGTAAAGGAGGCTAGAGAAGGTGTATCAGGATCGTGCCAAATGGAAGTCCGTAGTCTCTGCCTACCCCTCTGAGTGACATGCGTGAGACGCGAGTGCTTATGTATAATGTATCTAATGTATCATTTTATTAATAAAGTAATATTATGAGCAATGAGACATAAAGAGTGGACTGCGGACAGTAAGTATTAATAATGCGTGGTCTCTCTCTCATTCATTCTCATCTGTTTTTTTTTTATAGAATAGGAGTGACTAACAAGCAAACAAGCACATCCAGTTCAGGGTTAGTAGATCCACTTGTCACACATAAGAACTAAGATGGAATGCTTCCTTTCCAGTAAAAAAAAAGGTCTGGCGCTTATAGAGAACTGGCTGCAAACTCACCACACGAAACACAGCAGCATTAAGGTGATATTTTACGCTGTCATCGAATTCGTATAAGTTCATGTACGCTGTATTCCGTGAGAGCGTGATCCTTTAACGGTTGAGCCGGTAACCATATGTGCTACAACCATATATTAGATGCAGCATGGCTCTACCAAGTTAAGATCTGTAAATTTCATCGAATTTAAATTCCTTTAGCTTTAGGAATTTTTTTTTCCTAAAGCTAAAGTTACAGCCTATATACGTCCCACTGCTGGGCACGGGCCTCCTCTCATTTCTGAGAGGGTTTTAGGGCAAGGAAGTGTCCGCCGCGCTTCCCCAATGCCTGTTGGCGACCTTCAGATGTCTTCGTTTTTTATTTCTCAGACATGCTGGTTTCCTCACGATGTTTTCCTTCACTTCCGAGCACGTGGTAAATCAGCACTTAAAATTGCAAATTACTACTAAAATGCTAAGATGAGATCACCGGCACTCGATTCTAAAAAAGTAACTGTTCTTTTTCTTATAGATTTGAATACTTATATAACCTTGGTATGATCACGATAACGATAACTGTGAACGAAATCTGCGAATTTTCCTCTCGTCGACAATCGTCAAGATAATGGTGACGTTGAACAGAAAATTTGTACCTTGCCTTGGTTTGCTGTAACTTTCATTGATATTTGATATCATATGTTTGTTTTATAACATATAGGCAGTCAACAGTCTGAGTATGCGAAGTCCAGTAAGTAGTTTAAAACTTTTTTATGGTCTCCCTCAAGCACCTCAGACTTACTCGGGCTAGTCATGTGGGTTACTCTTAGTTTATCGTGAGTGACCTACCCTACCCATAACTATACATTACGAAGTGGATATCCGTTTTGAAAAGAGTAATGTTATGAACTATCCTAAGAACGAAGAATAATGATAATATGATAAAAAGGATATAGAAATAAAATTTAACCTCAACTAAAACCAAAAATATTTGGTCATATTAAATTTCGTTTATTATATATATAAATTAGATTATTAGAATCTCAAACCTATTTTTTAAATTCCACTACTGGACAGTAGGACTTTTATAGAATGCGCCATTATACTATTATATTGCGAAATGAATTGACAGACTTTAGTTAGTTGGTCAAGATTACATTTTGCTATAGAACAATTCAAGTACACATTCTTGTATATTACGATTTATTATTGATATACATTTCTGAGAAAGTTATCTATTTAATAATTTAACGTATCGGCCATTACGCTTGATGCACTTTTGTAAATAAAACTCATTTTTACGGATTTTATCGCGTACATTAACTTATTTTGTATTCCCGACGTTTCGAGCACTTCCTATTTAAGAGAGACCCCATTCACAATCAAAAGAAAAAATAATAAAAGACCAATAAAATCCCCGTTAAAAAACACACAGCTGAAGTGAAGAATCGAGACGCTCCGGAAAGTCTGCAGTCTGTGAACACGTACAGGATCGCCCCCGTCACTACATCAGATTTGATTGATCACAAATACTCCGTAAATAACACCGATTCCTTCCAAGGATGATTTGCGATACTATCGAAGTCAAAAACCACCCTAATTTCAAAAGAGAAGATGGCTGGGTGATACCATCTGCTTGGGATCCTATAATTAATAAATCTCAACCCAAGTATACAGCTGCAAGAACTTATGATACTGTTACGAGCTTAGGGTTCGTGACAGTAAAAATTGCCGATAGAATTACCAAAATTAACACTTTAATTCACTTTACACTAATTAAAACTTAAAAGACACTAATAATTAATCACACTGATTCACTTTATTTCGCTCCGAAGCTTCGCTTGTCTCGCCAAATTCAATACTGCCCCGATCGCGGCATGCAGCGGGTTTAAATACACTTTTACGTCGAAACATCCAGAATATTCCCGTAGATACGGGCACCGACCGACCAGACGCAGAAAGTTCGAGTGTGAGGCTTATAGAAAGCTTAGTTCTTCAATTCGATACTAGATGGCTCTGTTGGTTAAAAGATTAGTCATTTAATTTTCTGGAAAGCTCTCCTCGCTCTGTTACCCGAAACTAGATGGCGCTAGTGCCAGACGTCAACTTAGGGGCGCAACAATACTATAAATTCATACTGCGTAGGTCGTAACAAACATTAATAATTTTAATCTGGAGGTAGCCTTGGTTAACTATGACATTGGGACGTCGAACACCTCAGTCCCCCCCGTGAACATGGATCAATCGAGCTGTAAAGTGCTCGAAAAGTCAAGAGTATAAAATAAGTTAGCATACGTCATAACATTCGTATAAACTAGTTTTATTTAAATGTGTAGTGT